GTACACCTCATGCTGATCTTTTAGTCAGGGCGTTCCTAAACAGGGGGCATCTACCGCTGCCGGCCACGTGCTTCCAGTCTGCGCTCGTTCCCTTGCAGAGCATGCACTGTGGTTCCAGGCTACAGTCCTTTGCCAGGTGGTTCTCCTTTCCACATCTTCTACACAGCTTGGACCTATCTACTTTGCTACTGCACTGTCGTGCCATATGCCCAAACTCGAGACATCTGAAGCATTTGGTGACGCTGATTCGCTCACGCAGTCTGCATCTTACCCAGCCTACTTTTAGGACTCCTATTTTCAGAGCTTTCTGAGCGCTCTCCGCTGGCAGCCTGATTGTGGCCGTCTGGGTTCCACCGTATGCCTTTCGCAGCTGGATGTCATCCGCAGACAGCTCCGCCAATTCCACCTGGCTTCTCAGAGCTTCGCATATATCCTCCGTGGTGGTTATTTCGTCCAGGTCCTTGCACTCTACGGTCACCCGGTGCGACAGGCTACGGACTTCTGCGTGCTCCTTCAGCGTATTGGCTACCAGGCTTTTAAACGTCTCCTCTCCCGACTTGTTGAGCTGTAGCAGTAGCTCTCCTTTTTGGGTCCTCCTGATCCTGGCGCAGGGTTTCGTCCGTCCTAACCTTGCGCAGTATCTCTGCATAGGTCTTTTCACCTTTGGTGGCAATGACGATGGCGTCTGGTCGCGTCTTGCCCGCGAGCGCTCCAGTCGGCTTTTGCGGCCTCTACCTTCTGCGCCGGTTGGTCACCGTTAGAAATGGGGTCTCCTCCGGCTCCTTTCTCTCCCTTTCAGCGTGGGCGTCCTTTTCAACTGCTACTCCTGGTGTAGTCTGGACCTCGACCGCTGCCTTGGTCCTCTTTGTCCGGGGTGTTGGTGCACCTGCAGCCTGTTTCCTCTTAGGCTCCGGGAGAGGTCTGAAAATCGGTGACGTCTGAGAAGACTGGTGGGTCCTGATCACCGCCTTAGCTCCTTCGTCGTGCAGCTGGATAGCAACCAGCTCATACAGCACCCTTATGCTCGTTCGTCGTTATGGGTGTGTTATTTTTACTCATTTTGTTGGGTCCCAACCCGTAAGCCGTTGTCCTTGTCTGTTGTACAGTCGCGTTATGATCCCATGGTTGTCTATGCAAGCAAGGAGGCCATGCGAGGGTTGACTCCCGCCCTTATGGGGTCGGGAGTTCAGAGCCGGATCCGCGGCGGAGTCAGGAGTCAGGAGTGACTCAACTGAGCCTGTACGTCCAATTTAATGGCTACGGAACAAGGAGCGTGCTTAGAGATTTGCCAATTTTTCACGGGACGGGTTCAGAAGCTGCATTAACCTAGCAGCCATTTCGGCGGGGTTTCATTCCGCGTACTAAAGTGCTAGAATGCTGGCTTCCGTCAGCCCTGGGATCATCAATCCAAAAATTGGGGGTCCAGTTCCTATCCTAAGACTTTACTGGTCTCCGTTTTAGTCGCCTTCTCGTATTAGCTAGGTGTTTCATAGGTGTGTTAAACCTATCCGAGGGATACCTGGCATGTGCCGGCGGTTACGAGTTGCTTTAGTGCTCTTTAGAGGGAGCAGAACATCCCCGTGTCTTCTTAGTCGCCTCATACGACAAGCTATGACATGCTGTGGTGGTATTCTACTGCCCGCTCACCACACGGGTGACACCACACGGGTCACGATTCGTATGTGTGTATGTGTCCGTGTGCGTGGTTAGGTGTATTTGGTCATGTTCGTATTTGTGTCCGATACTTCGCTGAACGTGAAAACTTAATGAACGTTACTGTATCTGTGTTATGATTGTTGGAGTAGAGCTGTGTCCCGTCCGTCCTGGGAAATAAAAGCTCCCCCATTTCTTGCCGATGAGACGGAAGCCAGAACAAGCACGTACCCGGACGGGAGACGAACCATCACCTGCTCAGCCTTCCTCGAAGGTTTCTAATACCCAATATGCTACAGTTAGTTTATTATTTGGCGCCCAACGTGGGGCCCGAGCTGTCGCAACTGACAACACACCGGCAAGCCCCAAATGATTGTGAAAAATTGTGGAATGTAGATGTGACCTTACATTCCCAACCAGTATCGGGACAGATGTGTTGGAGAAATGCTACTCGTTTTTTTTCCTTTCTGGATTATCCGATCAGGAACGGTGGGTGAAAGGCCTCAATTTGCCAGGAAGGTTTTGCGAATAGGACTCATACTCATTGGGCTGGGAATCTGGTATCGTTGGATGGATACGTGGTATAAAACAATAGTTTTACCCACCGCGCAATACCCGGACCGCCTATAGCTACGAGTTGTGGGTTATTATTAATTTGTTTATGCATGTAGTTGAATAAATGTAGTATATGGGAAACATCATACACATATACCATCATAGATATACCTTATTATCCCCTTTGACTTCAGCATGGTCCTAGCAGATTTTTTTTTGTTTGATACTTTATTTATTTTATAAATTTCTTAAATTTTATTTATCTATTTAATTACTTTAGTATAATATTTATAGATTTATTATTTCAAAATAATAACTATAGTTATTTATTTATTTTATTTTATTTAGTATTTATTGTTTTTGGTTGTTCACCTAGGGTTATTAGGCGTTCGTTAGGAAACAGTAAGGCTGAAACGGGGATCGTCAGAACTCGTATGAAAACAATGCGTATTTGGCAGTTGCGAGAATTTAGCAGACGAAGAATTACAAGAAAGAGTTTGTTTGATCTGCCAGGCTCAGGTGGAATATTTGGCTCAGCTCCTTACCACGTCTTGTGGTCACACTTTCCATAGGGCCTGTTTTGGCACACAAGTGGGATATAAGAAGGTTTGTCCTGTCTGCAAAACGTCTTTTCAGTCATCGATGTTGAATGTATTAGATGGATCAGCTGGGGACGCCGTTGGAACCAATAATACGAGGAGAAAAGCCCATGTGGGGGCTCCACAGGGAGCTTCGACGTCTGCTTCGGCCAATCAGTCGCAAACTAGAGAAGCTGATCCGCAAGTGGTGGTAGCTCCTTCGCCTAGTAACGAGCTTCAGCGAATGATAGCCGAAGCCATGGCTGAAGCCTCGTTGACACAAACCGAGATGCTGAGCAATGCGATCGCTAATGGTTTTCAAGGTATTGTCGTCTCTCTCATGGACCAACTAGCAAATACAGCGGATGTTCCTTCGAGGGATAACCAAGCTGGAGAAGGAACGGCCGACACCCTTGCCCGCTCAGGTTTTCGAAACAGCCAGCACGAACTCCCCCATGAGTGTGGATATTCGACCAGAGCGTGTTAGTCAAATTTTAGTCAATTGGAAGCTTAGGTTCTCTGGGCGGGCTGGAATTTCCGTCGACGATTTCATTTATCGGGTAGAATCGCTCACAATCCAAACATTGGACGGGAATTTCGAGTTGCTTTCGAGATACGTGAGCAATCTCTTTGGGGGTAGTGCCAATGACTGGTTTTGGCGCTACCATAAGAGTGTTAGGACGGTCGTTTGGGCCGACCTTAAATCTTCACTGTTAGTACGGTTCAAGGATGAGAGGACAGACGTCAACATTCGAGCTGCAATAGACCGAAGGAAGCAGAAGGAGAACGAATCATTTGATTAGTTCTACGAAGGGATTGTCCGATTGGCAGATACACTGGCAACGCCCTTGTCAAAATGTTCCCTGATGGAGTCACTCCGATCCAATTTATTGCCGGAGATACAGCATGAACTGCTATATGAAAAGATCTTTAGCATTGCACAGTTAAGACACTTGGTGAAGACTCGGGAACTGTTCATGCAAACTGTTGGTCAAGATCCGGCGGCAAGACCACGTCCAGCACCAAGACGGTTAGTTCATGCGGTAGAAAGCCCAGTGCAAGAGGAGTCAGACGAAAGTGGTGAGGAGATAGCAGCGTTCAACTTAGTCTGTTGAAACTGCCGTGGTAATGGTTATCACTACCAGGATTGCGTAGCAGTGCGAGTAGTTTTTTGCTATGGGTGTGGCCAGCCTGACACTTACAAGCCGTCGTGCCAAAAATGCCAAGCAACAAAAAACAACCAAGTGCGTGCACCCTTGAAAAGTGCACGCAGACCATCAGCGTCCAAAGCGACGAACACCGAGTAGCGCCGATAGAAGCTGCAACGCAATTCCCAATTCCAATAGTAAATAATAATTTAACCATAGTTAATAAGAAAATAACACAGGAAGATCAAAAGGATAGGGAGTCTAAACGGAAGGCACGAGCAAAAGTACGTCGGGAAGAATTTGTCAGAAATCTAAGGTTAGAGAAACAAGCTCTGGTATCGTCAATAATATCAGAAGATCTCAGGCCATATGCAGAAGTCACATTATTATACAGGAAGCTTGTTGGATTGCTGGATACAGGGGCATCTATTAGTTGCATTGGTGGAGATTTGGCTTGCGAGCTGCTTGAAAGCCAATTTCACTTTAAGCCCATGGCTTCCACAGTTCGGACAGCGGGTGGGCAGTCCCAGAGAGTGGTTAGGAAGCTTCAAGCGGAAGTGGGCTATAAAGGTGTTACCAGGTCTCTTACCCTATACATCGTTCCAACTCTAACGCAGCATCTGTATCTAGGCATTAACTTTTGGACCGAATTTGGCCTATTGCCAGCCGACTTGTATCCACAAGGAACTGCGAATGACACGGTGGACCATTGCGATGAGGTGGGGAAGCCAGAAAACCAACGTCCTTTATCGGAGGTACAACGAGAACAACTGAATAAGTAGAACCATTCAGTGTCTTCCGTCGTTCGCGGATAATTGTTTAGGAAAGACCACGTTGTTGTCCCATGTAATAGATGTAGGAGAGCCCACAAAAAAACGACACTATGCAGTGTCCCCAGCTATCGAGAAATTAATGTATGAGGATTTGGATCGCATTTTAGCGCTAGGGGTTATCGAAGAATCCAACAGTGCGTGGTCTTGTCCGGTAGTATTCGTCCGGAAGCCGGAGAAGGTTCGTCTTTGTATAGACAGCCGAAAGGTGAACGAGGTGACTCGGAAGGACGCGTATGTACACCAAGTGCAAGAATCTGCTGCCGAACAACGCCGACACCAACGAGGAGGTGAAGAAGCTAAAGGTGGCCACGCACAGCAACATTGCCCTGTGCCACCAGAAGTCCAACGATCACTTCGAGGCCAAGGTGGAGTGCAATGCTGTGCGCGCCCTGGAGGCCAACAATGTGAAGGCTCTCTATCGTCGCGGACAATGCAACCTGATCATCAATGAGCTGGAAGATGCCCTGGAGGACTTCCAAAAGGTTATTCAATTGGAGCCTGGCAACAAGGCAGCTGCCAACCACGTGGTCATCTGCAGGCAGAAAATCAAGGAGACCAAAACCAAGGAGAAAAAGCTGTATGCTAACATGTTTACCAAGCTGGCGGCCAACGACAAAGAGACCGAACCACCGCGCGAAACAGATGTGCTCAGTAAATGCGGCGAATGGTCCGAGGAGGACGCCAAACGCGAGGCTGATCTACTGCTTGAACGCGACAATATAATTATGATCTAGCCGAGGACAAAGGCGATCAATTGTTTAGCATTTTAAGTACTTTTCCTAAATATTTCCACATCGAAAATCGAAAAAATCCCATGCCACTCATAGATGGGACTTTGAGTCGGTTACCAAAGGCAGAATACATAACTAGCCTCGACCTGAAAGATGCCTACTGGCAAATACCGCTAGAAGAAGGTTCTAGGGATAAAACAGCATTCACAGTGCCTGGACGGCCGCTCTACCAGTTCAAAGTTATGCCTTTTTACCAATGCGCCGTCTACTATGTCCAAACTTATGGACCGCATTATTCCAGCCAATCTTCGAAACGAAGTGTTTATATACTTGGATGACCTGCTTATAGTGTCAGACACCTTTGAAAGGCAGCTGAGTGTGTTAAAAGTATTAGCAGAGAAGCTGTCTGCAGCGGGGCTTACAATTAATATACAGAAGAGCAAGTTCTGTGTGCCTGAGGTCCTCTATCTGGGGCATGTAGTGGGTCACGGTATTATAGGCATGGACTTGGACAAAATAGAGGCCATTAAGGAATATCCTGCTCCGAAGTCGGTGAAACAGTTGCGTCGATTCTTGGGTATGACGGGATGGTACCACAAATTTATAAAGAATTTTGCGGCTATTGTGGCGCCTCTGACGGACGCCCTGAAGCAGAAACGCCAGTTCATTTGGTCCAAAGAAGCAGAAGCTGCATTCTGAAGAACTCTGAAGAACTCAATGTGTGAAGCGCCCGTCTTACACACACCGAATTTTGAAAAGCCTTTCTTTATCCACTGCGACGCTAGTCACTCAGGAGTAGGAGGGGTACTGATGCAGATAAACGAAGAGGGCGATGAAGTACCAATTGCGTTTATGTCACGAAAATTGAATAAGTGCCAACGTGCTTACTCGGTGACGCAAAAGGAATGCTTAGCTGCCATTCATTTGAGTAGCAGATTGGCCAGATGGGCTTTGAAGCTTCAGGGGTATTCCTTTAATATTTGCCACCGAAAAGGGTTTCGAAACATTGTTCCAGACGCCTAGTCTCGGGTCTTTCTCGGGTCGCGTCCAATTTAAGTCCCATGCATTCAACTCCTTGCTTCAGAATTATGGCATAGAGCACACTTACACCGCCGTTTACGCTCCGCAAGCTAACGCGTCCGAGCGAGTTAACAGATCTATCTTGGCAGCAGTCAAAGCCTACATAAATACTGACCAAGGTAACTGGGATGAGCAGCTCAGCAGTGTAGCCTGTGCGTTAAAATCGGCTGTGCACAGTGCCGTAAAGGCGAGTCCATACCAGTTGGCGTTTGGGCAACAGATGATCACGAATGGTACCACGTATCAGTTGTTGAGGCAGCTAGAGATGTTAGAAGATCGTTGGGTGCATTTTCCTAGGGACGACTCATTTGATCTGATGCGTGGCACGGCAAAAGAGGCAATGTGAGCTCAGCATGAACGAAATAAAAAGACATATAACTTTCGAAGTAAGGATGTATCATTCAGAGTGGGGCAGGGTGTTACCGTCGAAATTTCCAGCAAAGTAATTTCGTGAAAGGATTTAATGCCAAGTTGGCTCCTGTTTTTGTGAAGTCCCGGGTAAGGCGACGGTTGGGTCAAGCCTATTACGAGCTAGAGGATCTGCAAGGACGTCTGATCGGCAAATTCCATGCCAAAGATATCAAACAGTAGCACCATAAAAAAAATAAATCGCTCTAAGCGGGAATCACCCTATTGGTCCTTCTACCCCAAAGTGTGATTTTGGTAGGGGGGATTTGAAGTAGTTTGAAATAGTAACGTATATAAATAGGTATAAATACTGGGATCTACAAAAGGGAACATTTAGAAAAGTACCAAGAAGGGATATTGTTCTCCTTTATATGTTACTCAAATTCCGCCGAAATTCAAGTCAAAAGGTAAACGAAGGAGGGTAATGTGGTTAGATAGGAGGCTGTAAAAGCCTTCTTTATGGGATCACCGGAGGAAACGGGAGCGGTGATCATGGTAGGGTGGGCATAAGTGGTCACAACAACACCGTGTCACGATTCGTATGTGTGTATGTGTCCGTGGGCGTGGTTAGGTGTATTTGGTCATGTTCGTATTTGTGTCCGATACTTCGCTGAACGTGAAATTTTAATGAACGTTACTGTATCTGTGTTATGATTGTAGGAGTAGAGCTGTGTCCCGTCCGTCCTGGGAAATAAAAGCTCCCCCATTTCTTGCCGATGAGACGGAAGCCAGAACAAGCACGTACCCGGACGGGAGACGAACCATCACCTGCTCAGCTTTCCTCGAAGGTTTCTAATACCCAATATGCTACAAGCTTTGAAGCTCTGATTTAATCTATTGATTTATCCACTGTTTTGCCATGCAGGTACGACAAAAGTCATGGTGTGGCAGTCTGTATCTGATGCCCTTGCGACCGATGACACAGTGCGCTGTCAGTGCACGCAACTGACATTTCTTGAAGCTCATCTGAAATGGCCCCTCATCTGCCAGATAAAGATTCGTAGTGGTCTCCGCGGCCGCAATCGGCTTGGCCGATCCAGTTCTGGCAAAATCTCGTTGCCCGCGATGTCGGTCTGGCCCGTGACCCGCGTGATTGGTTTGGCTCGGTCCGTCCACTGTCTCGCGTACGAGTCTAGTTGTGATCTTGCAAGATACTAAGGCTTTGATATCAGTCTCGCCATCAACGCATATTACTATGTTCCTCGGAGGTATATCTAAGGTGTATATCAACTTCGCCGCTTGCCTTACTGCATATATCTCTACCTAGTGTTAGGGATATATTGGTCACCAGATCATTACAGAAGAGTCCAGCTCCCGGCTATACGACTGCCTCACTGCCGTCAGTGAAGAAGAAAAGATCCAGTGGCCCCAAGGTATGCTACTCGTTGGACTCTATGGAAGTTTTCCAGGTGAAGCTTTGTGTCGGCCGCCTCTCACCATACCAAACATCCGTATGTCAGAATGGGAATGTCAGCTGGTAGGAACGGCCAAAGACCAGCCCCAGAGTCCGGAAGTGTCAGCACATTCAAAATCAACGGAGGAACAGTTGTCAGCCGTGCAGAGGAGAAATCGGATTCCCCACATGCGCGCGCCCTATAACCGACGGACGAATGTTTTTTTAGGCATTGAAATTGTGATGATATGCACTCCTACATTCTTGTGTGCTCGTCACTTTGGCTTTGTTGATCTCGCTTAGCTCTCATGTCCACCACTAGTTCCGATTGGACTTTGGAAGTTAGCTGATCGGGTAGGATTTGAGAAATGTTTTATGTGGAGCCATTGTGACGTTCTGTGCCTCTTCCTTTAGTACTCCCGTGTGAAGGATGTCCCCTTCCCGGCGGTCAGGTAGAATCTTCTATACGGTTTTAGAAAAACGGATCCAGTCTGACCACTTAGGATTACGATAGGCCTTGATCCTTCTCTTTGCCATTTCATATTGTGAAGTATCCTGTAGTGGTCCACTCATCGGGCACATGCCATTCCTCGACGGCGACGGAAACGTTGTTCGAGGACAGGTTTATGTCTATAACTTTTGCACGGTTCCTGCTGCGAAAAGTGGTGTGGCCTCACCGTACAGTGGGCGATGTTTATGGTGATTTCGCAAATCGATAACAAAATCTATAAAGACGACATCGTGGATCAGCTATGAGCTCCCGAACACAACATATGCAGGCCCTACTTTTTTTTAGCGTTAGCCGCGTATTTTTCTCGTTCTTTAGATGGTAGTGGAGCCTATCAACACCCTGTTTGTGAGCTAATTTCGTCTTCTGGAATGTACAAAATTCTACGATTCTAAGTGCTAATTTGGTCAGTACAAATGTTATGTTTGCGTGAAAATATGCTTCGTCCGATGTGTAAATTGCCAAATATTAGCTGCCTGAGCCGCCCATTCTGACTATGCAGCTTTTTTAGGGAGTCATGCCGGCCTGCAGGCTAACGCTCTTTTTAGGATGGCATTGAGAAAAATCCGTTTCAAGCTAACTTTCAGAACTGATCGACTTCACTTTTTCAAATGTTTTTTAAAAATCAAAAGGGTTTAAAATCGATTCAAGTGCAATAACGCAGGTTGGTTGAACGAACATGTGGTTCCTCTACGTCCAGACAGAAAATTGAGTCCAGGATGAAAACAAAAGGACATTGCTGATAGCTATTGAAACTGTCAATGCACAAAAGTTTCGAGTCTCTTTGAAGACAAACTCTTGCAATGAGTTCATCAGAGCAGCACGAATTTGCCTATAAAAATGTGCAAATTGGAGTGCATCAGATATAGTTTCAAGTGTAGGCACTGCTCCTGAAGCATCTAAAAAAATAGAAAGAAGCCTGGATATAGATCAACAACTCCCTAAAAAATACGCTCCAGAAGAAGTTTTGGGCTTTTATATTAAATTATATATTATTTAGCCTAATCTAGGCCGTCAGCCATCGGGATGGCGGGTCGACTAGCAAAACTGTAAGCTCGGAATGAGGCGCACACCCCTAGGATACAGAGGGTTGCGAGCGAAACGCCGTAACTATACACACCGGTCAAAGTGCGACTATACTCTCCCCGTGAGGGCGGCTGGAAACGGGTCCTGGCACGGTCATGTCTCTGCCAGGATGCTGGCGTATGGTAGTCGGGCGGAGAGAAGAAAAATCTCAGTGAACTTACCCCAATCCAAGGTGACACTGTTATGCCGATATGCCGAGGGATGCATGGCCGACGGGGTGCTCGGTCGGTAATATGCGGACTCTGGATACCTGCCGTCCTCCAGTTTAAATCAGGCTTCCCGGGGCAAGCGGGCTGTTGAGTCCAGGAACGTGAGAATTGCGGATAAAACACAATCGCTTATCTTCATAGGTACTTAGGCGTTAGTTGCGTTTTATTTCCTATTTGCAAAAGGAGGTTAATACATTTTATTCTTATATGTAGGTAATATATCTACGCACGCTTCGTCTTTTTTCCCCGCTCTTTTTTCGACTGCTCAAACTAATGTGACCTTCTTGTCTTTTTACAGTGTGGCCATTTTTCTTCTCTC